CGCTGTCGATGTCGGCGGCGGTGGCGCAGGTGCAGGAGGAGGAGGAGGAGAGGAGGGGGCGGGAGAGGCTGAGAGGGGGGAGCAGATCTTCATCCTGCTGATGATCCGAGACTTCGGGGCGCTGCTGTTCGCGACGGTGATGACGACGAGGCAGTTCCTGTCGATCCTGCTGTCGTGCATCATCTTCCTGCATCCGTTGTCAGGGGGGCAGGTGAGGTCCGGGGAAGAGAGGAGAGGGAGGGGAGGGGAGGGGAGGGGAGGGGAGGGGAGGGAGAGGAGGGACTGACGAGGGTAATGGTGCAGTGGGTTGGGACGTGTCTTGTCTTTGGGTGCCTTTACATGAAGACAGCGTTCCATGTCTGGAAGAAATGAAAGTAACAAGTTTCTCTTCCCTTATTGTTTGTGAGCAAAACCTCCGCAAAGGAGTCAAGATATCAAATTTGAATCACATGATCAGATTGTGTTTTTCGCTAGCTTGTTTCTGATTTTCGAGCAGGACAGGATGTGTTTGAATATGTTTAAAAACAAATGCATTTTATCTCCTTTCATATCACTTGCCTTAGTTGTCCGGCTTATCTCTTAATTCCGATTCTCTTCCTTGTCGACCTCGTGCTTGTTTGCCTCCACATCGTCCATCTTCTCCATCAGATTCTCTCCTTCTTCTTTGGATCCTTCCTCCTGGTGATGAGCCTGTTCCTTCTTGTTGCCTGCTCAGTGCGTTAAAATTCTCCGACATTTTCTGCTCCCCTTCCCTGCCACCCTTTCCATTCACTCCACTCCCTGCCTGCATGTTCGATCTCCTCGCCTCCTCACCTGGCATCGATACAAGAGTCTTCCAGTACAGAGACCCGAAGACAAGACACGTCCCAACCCACTGCACCATTACCCTCGTCAGTCCCTCCTCTCCCTCCCCTCCCCTCCCATCCCCTCCCCTCCCTCTCCTCTCTTCCCCGGACCTCACCTGCCCCCCTGACAACGGATGCAGGAAGATGATGCATGACAGCAGGATCGACAGGAACTGCCTCGTCGTCATCACCGTCGCGAACAGCAGCGCCCCGAAGTCTCGGATCATCAGCAGGATGAAGATCTGCTCCCCCCTCTCAGCCTCTCCCGCCCCCTCCTCTCCTCCTCCTCCTCCTGCACCTGCGCCACCGCCGCCGACATCGACAGCGCCAAGATGTGCATGTA